ATCGAAAACTCTCTCCCTTTGATTTCAGCTCCCAAAGCCTAAGCCCCCAACAAAATGGGAGTTGTTTGCCAAGAAGAAAGGTTTGACACTAAAACTGCTATACATGTTGTAGGATTTAATTTTAAGCTTGATAAACTAACGAAGTAGTTATTTACTACTCCCATCCCAATTTCTCCCAGGTATTCAAAACCGCAAGAAAGACAAGATTCTTTTTGATGAACAGACTGGTACATGGAAGCGCCGACATGGATATGATCGCGTGAATGATGACAATGATATACCAATTATTGAGGCCAAGGAAACTGATGGTACGTATTTTGTATTTTGTTGTTTCTTGCAGATAATATCGGGCTATTCTTTGAACATGTTGAGGGCTTTCAAAATAGTTACTGCCTTGGTTTAAATGCATTGACAATATGAAGGATTAAAATATGTTATGAAATATGGATGTAACCTGTAAGTAGTTGTAATACTATTTATTTAAATGTAAAATGAGATGTAAATCTATTGAGTAAAATTTTGTGCCTTGTGGTACTTGTGATGGTAAGTAATTGAGTTCATTGGATTGTGCTGAATAAGGATAGGGTAAAGCTTACCCATGATGGGGTAGGGATGTTAATTATACTTTCACCCAACGGGTTATCCATATCCTTGCAACAATGGGTAATAAAATCGCAGCAAAGTTTGGGTAATGGGTACATGGAGAGTTATCCTCGCCCTGCACCTGGACTCATGTGTATTTTATATATTATATAACTAATGTTTTTATAAAATGATCATATTATTTATAAATATGTAGTTTTTCTTTAGATTCTTGGGATGTAATGCATTAATGAAGTATTTTTGATAATTTTATCTTGTAAATAGATTATAAAATTTATATTAAATTTAAATGTGTGATTTTGTAATTAATTTTTGTATTTTTATTTGTTAAAGATGGGTTTTGTGTTTTGGAATGCCCATTTGAATGGAGTGAGACTTATTCTAGCAACTAACATTGTCGGTGTGGGGAAGTCATGATTCATGTATTTCATTTGCTTGCTTTTTGCATGTATTAGAAAAAAATCATGAAATGAGATAAAAATTTGTCAGGGGATTCCATGTCCCCCCATGGAGGCAGGTATGGGAGAGGGGATTTGTTCCCTGCACTGTGTGGGGATTGGGGTGGGGATGTGAAGGTGGGGGGGGGGTATGCCCCTCCCTATTGCCATCCTTAGGAGGGGGAAGGGGAGGAGACTTTGACTTTCATGAATGAAAACCTATTGATGGAAGGATGGAAGAGCATTTGGCATAATATAGTGCTATTGAGTTTCTTGGGAAAATAAAATAGATACAAATAGAATTGTTATTTTTTTCATTTTTTTAGCCAAGTGTTTGGAACTTTTGTAAGGTTTATATACCCATAGTGATCATCCATCTTTTTTCAGATCAGTTTTGTTTATTTTGAATGAAGTTTTTGCTAAAAATTACATGTGATTAGGAATTCTTTAAGTTTCTTCCTCCAACCCGTTAAAAAACACAAATTCTCACATTAAGTAGTTTTAGTTTTATAGTGGTGACACAAAAACAACCACATTGCACCCTCCTCTCTCATCACTATGCACTATCATCTTTGCCCCACTGCCCTTCTCTACAGGGATTACTGTCTTTGTTGGATTTGAGAAATTGTCCCCATCCCTATTCCTGTGAAGATTATATAGGGATTCCCCAAGCTAACATGAAGATTATGCCTGGTACAGGGAATCCCTGCATATTGCATAAACTTCTTGGAGATGGGGAGAATTTCTCAATTCTGCTATTCCCTGCCATCCCTAGAGTGTACACAAGAAAAACTTTGATGAGAGATGGATGAGTAGTGGGGCAAAGATGATTGTGTAGATGGTGGACAATAGCGTGTGTGAGAGAGAGAGACAGAGAGAGGTGCTGGTTTGTGTCATAACTATAAAACTACAACTAGTGCATGCACATATTTGTATTTATTGCCGGTCGGAGGAAGAATGTTAGGAAATTCCTATTAACATATTATTTTTAGTATGTTCACTTTCAAAGTAAACAAAACTAATGTTTTAAAAAGCTGCAAGTTTGCTATGGAAACCTATATGTATATACATAAACTTGTGTGAGACGGATCTCAAATATGTAATATATTTTTTATAGGTCAACAAGTATTGCATTTTAATTGAAAAGTATTACTTGTTTCTTGGGAAGTGTTTGTAAAAATGTAATACTTGTTCACTTATGAAAAAGTATTACATTTTTGCTAAAAAAGCATTACTCACGCAAGACTAACTGGTATATGTAAGGCTAAACTGCTAAAGTCCTTCAATTCATATTGACAGTATCAACCTTTACAAAGTTCCAAATACTTAGCTTTCTGCCTATAAAAAATGAAAACGGTAACAATTGTACTTAACTATTTATATTTGTTTTATTTTTCCAATAAACTCAATAACACTATTATTTTTCTTCCCTCCTTCCATTGGCAGGTTTTCACCCATGAAAGTCTCCTCCCCTTCCCCCCCTCATGCTTAATTTCATATCTTTTCTTTGTTTTGCAAAGGAATTGATAGCAAATGGATTATGGACCTTTCCTTCACTATTTTAATATTATCCTAATTATCATATTTGTTTCTTTTCCAGCACCTGGAGAAGATCCTTTTGCCAAGAGAAAGGAAGAAAAGAAGAAGAGAGTTGATAAGCAAGAGAAAAATAGATTGCAAAACTTGAAACAAGCTGCAAAAGTTGGTGCAGTGCCAAGGTCTCACTCTTTAGCCTTTTGGTGTTTCATTTATTTCTTTTACTTTTATCAACTTGGTATGCGCTGTCATAGCTTGTGGTGGCTCTTTACCCTTGTTTCCTCGTTGACATCTTATGCACTCTTATAGTTTGTGGTGGCTCTTTCTTTTCTTGTTCCCTTTGCTTCCTGTTTTTCACCCTATGCCTTTGTTACTTTGTATGGCATATTGATATGTACATCTCTTGATGGTATTCTCTTGTTCTTAGTATACCTAAATCTATTAAAAGTGTGGGTTCTCAGTGTCCTGCCTCAAGATCTAATTAAGTTACTGCTTTGCAGCCATATTCAGCTTGCTGCCACTTCATTACCTATAACAGGGACACAAGCTGCACCTAGAAAAGTTAGTAAGGGTGAACTAGGACATGTTGCTGGAATGGCAGCAACTGCCACAGCTAGTGGTGGAAAGTTCGACAAGAAGTTGGCCGGAGAAAAACCCCCAAAACATGAAAAGAAATATCGCAAGGTGACCTTTTTATTCTCTTTGTCGTTATGTTGCCAAGTTTTTTTGGCTGTGTATTGAATTCTTCACCTGTTGTTTGTTTGCCTCCAGTTTCTACCAGTTGCAGAAGGATCAGGAATGGGTTCATTAGAAAGACAGCAAACTGATAAAATTCTGAACAAACTAATATCAAAGAATTCACATGACATACTCGATGTTAACAAGGTCCATCTATTCTTCATTTTTCTCCTTTCATTAGTCTTGTGAGATCTAAGGTATAATTTTGGTTGCAAAATTCATGTCTGACTTTGGCTTGTTTGCAGGCTGTGAACATGTACAATGTGAAAAAGGAGAAGGGAAGGAGGAACCGTGAAGGAAAGACTTCAACACCAAACAAGTTGAAACCAAGGGGCAAGCCTCTTAAGAAAACCTTCAATAAGGGATCTTCAAAAGCACCGAAATCCAAGTGAATTCCATCTTAACAATCACTGAATGAGTGAAATTTTGGTATTCTGCAGTAGAGAGATATCCCCATCCTTCCTACCCCTTTTTTGATAAAAAAAAAAAAAAAAATAGTAGGTAGATAAGCTGAAACAAAATTTAAATTTCAAAGTCCTGTTTTTAGTTTTGATGCGCCGTTGGAATTTACCTAGTTGTATTTGTAGTTTGATTTTCCAAGCTCTTGTTGTCTTGGTGAAATGTGGTTGAATTCAGATACTATGGTTAGAGCAAGGTTGCCCCTAGTTGACATCTTAATGATATTATTATTTTTGGTCTTAGAAGAGAAATTATTATTTCATAGGAATCACTGTTTCTTTCATGTTACATATGTTACTCGGCTGTGAATTGACAGATAGATTTTATTATGACAGGGTTATAAGATTTGGTGTAATAAACTTGACTAAACTACCATTTCTAATGGAGCTAGATTAAAAATGAAGGCTGTAATTCCTCTGGAACATTGCTATATCACCAAAATAAAACTTTTGAAAGGATTATTTTATCTGATAAAGCTACAAGAACTAAAAAATTCCATCAAAATTTTCCGCCAACAACAATTGTACGTTCAGATCAAGGGAGCTTCATTGCAGCAGTCGCGTTCCGTGGCATCCAAAATGGCAGAAGCATTAGCCATACGTATCAGGGAAAGATTTAAGTTGAAACTGATGCCCTCATGCTTGTTCAAGCTCTAGCAAACACTTTGGCCTTGTTTTAGAGGATATTAGAGTGTTGTTAAACTGCTTTTCATGCACTTTTGTTAAGCAAACAACGAATCGCACGGCCCACGGTCTTTTATTTTTGATTCCTTATATTTGGATCTTAATTAGTTAATATATTATCTTTTCCTAAAAAAAAAAAAAAACAATGAAAAACCTTTAAGCAGATTACGTCAAATGGTCATTGGTTATGTTGAGGATTTTGATTAAAAAAAATTAATTCATGTAAAAAAAAATGAAACAAATTAAAAAGATCACTGTCCATGCATTAAATATGAAATTTTAATAAATATACAAATATATATATATATATATATATATATATATATATATATATATATATATGTATATATATCTTTATTATATATTTATTTATTTGTTTTTATTACAATTCCTATTTACTAACTATCAAACAGAGTGACTCATTCTACTCAAACTCATTATAATTACCAAGTATTTAATTTCCATTACCTTTCCAATTTCAATGTTGCCCTTAATTCTGAAACTGCAATAATGATGCACTTGGCTGCCATACAAGAAACATTACAAATTTGTCATCAAAGTAACAAAACTGCATTTCTCAAAAAGAAGATGATTGTTCAACACAGTAACCTCTGTTGCTTAAACAAGCCAACTTAGGATTCTAGATGTTCTCATATGTTGGCAAAACCACCAACTCCAAAACCTCAACTCCTATTCAAAGATAAATATAGCAAAGAAAAAAAAAACAATGATTGTGATGGTGGAATTAACTTTGCACTTCTCCATCACCACGGTCCTTTTCAGAAGCAGCTGCCATTATCTCGTCAAATTTTTCACTCTTCCCAAGCACTATCTCAATCTACACAAGAAAGATCAGACATGTAATGGCCATATTGATTGCTTGCATGTATCATGTGTGTCAACAGGCAGTCTTTGCATCAGATTGAAGGGTAGAGGTACATACACAAAATAACGAAATAAAAAGACCTGCTATGCTGAAAAACCCTAACACCATGGGCTACCATATAGTTCCTATTTATTTATTTATATATATAAAAATCATAAAATACAACTTACTTTGGCTTTAGAAATTGGCCTTCCTCTTGAATCATCCTTGACATCAACAGTTGATGTCATAATCTCTGCAACATAAATGTTTTTTTTGGGGGGTTAGCACAGTAGGAACAACAAATCTGACAATGGATAAAGGATTCTTTCTGCTAAATTTAGCTTAGCAGGTAAATGTTGGACAGTGGAAAAGTGCTGGAAGAATGAATCAGAAAATCATATTTTTTTTTCCAGTTTGGGATATAGATTCTCTTTTACAAATACTGAAATTCTTACTCTTTTCAACAGCTAATCCATTGTTCTTCAGGATTTCAGCCACTGAGACTACTGTTGCAATAGCTACAAAGAAAAAGGGAAGGAAAATCATCAATGATGCAATAAAAGGGCAAAGGGTAGCTTGGAATATTTATATATTTGGAATACACGCAACCTCTTGCCAATACAAATGAAAGGGAAAGGGGCCATATAAGCCCTCAAAATATGGTGGAAAGTTCAATCGCACCCTTAAAATTTTTTCTTTTGCTGACATGTTTTTTACAGAATATTTAAAAAAAAATTAGGCAATAAAAAAAAAAATATTTTCTTTTTTCATTCTCACCTATCTACAGCCATGTAGGATGAGAATCATCCTTGTCCTCCACAGCCATGGGAAGACATGGACGAACCTCATCCTACATAGCCATGGGAGGATGAGCATGAACCTCTACAGCCAAGGAACGAGGGCCTTCATCCTCATCCTCCACACTCCACAGCAATGTACAAGGACCTTCTGTCCTCATTCTCCAAACTATGGACTCTCCTTGTCCTCTAACTCGCCAGAAGATTAAAGAAGAGTTGCTAAAAAGTTGAAAGTCACCAGAAATTTCTTAGTGATAAATTAGTTAACATTTTCATGTAAGGTGTCATGTAAGCAGATGTGAAGGGCAACTTGATTTTAACCTATAAAAATGCTAATTGCACCTTTTTTATTTTTTTTCTAAGTTCGCGAATATTGAAGCTTTTTTAAGTTCAATGGTCCAACTGAACTCCCCCAATAGTTTGAGCCTTTGAGGGCTTATTTGGCCCTTCTCCCCAAATGAATTATTAACAATCATGCCAAACACACAACTAGCAGAACATATGTTCATATATGGCTAAAATAGAATCATAGCCAACTGTATTATTAGGAATGTTGCAGAAGGCGCTAGGCGTTAGTTGAGTCCTAGATCCGCTCAGCGGAAAAACCAACTAAAAAAAAAAGAGTTCCGGTGACTCGGCTGAGTTGGCCAACTAAACCGCCTAAACAGCCACCTATGCGGCTGGGCGACTAGCAACCACCTACACCCCTATGCAGCTGGCCGACTAGCAACCACCTACACCACTTTATCACCTCGGCATAGGGGGCGGGGCACGCCTAGGCGGCGGCCTCCTAGGCCTATTTTTAGGACACTGATTATTAGTAAGATTGTTAATTGAAAAAATATCCAATAACTGAATCAGTCCATAACATGCAACACATTCAATATATTACTAATTGACATGCCCTAAATTTGTCACACAAAAATCAACAAGTCATCCAACTACTGTATATTTATTCTTATTAATATACATAACACTCTATAAAATTCAATAACTGCAGGCTAGCAAGTCTATAATTAAACAATCCTCGAGATATAACCATTATTGCATAAATCAGTTTCCATTATATTTATATTAAGCACATTCACAATTATGAACACATATTACTCCTGCTCATTACAATGAACAATATGAACATAAAAACCCAGAAACAGATAGAGAATTGAGGAAGTAAAACTCCATTGGCAATTTGGCATAAAAGCCAGAAAAACTCAAGAGAGAGGCAAGTGAAGCCATACCCATTCCAAGAGCAGAAAGCTCCACCTCATTGTACTGCTGCATATATCTCTGCATAAATAAATAAAAAAATAACACAAATCCCAAACACCAAATTACACTCAGAATACCAAACATATCCATCCATCTATCAACATCAACATTAATGCACATCCCAACACACTACGTTACTCTTTCAAATTCAGATCCAGATTAACAAAAGAATTTATACGACAATATATACATATATGTGCATGAGAGGTGAATGGGAGGAGAGATTATATCACCTTGGCAAGATTGACATAGAAGAACAATGGTTTCTTGGTGCTGGAGACCTGAATGCGATTCTTCTTCTGAAGATCACCGGCGCTAATGTTGATATTGGTGACTCCCTCCGTTATCTCCTCCATTAATGATTCCTGATTTGCTTCCACAATTAAAACAAACACCCTACCTCTAACCCTAAATTACTCGAAGCTTTTATTTACCAAAACAGAAAATCTTTAGATGATATTACTATAGTAATTACACTATTAATAAATGTCTTCTGCTAATTTCATCAGTTCAACGCTGGAAGCTTTGGATGGGGGCGATTATATGATTTATGCGTCCTGAGTGAGTCGGCATTTAACCTAGTACATCCCATAAAACAAGGAAAAACTTTAAAGTTTTTAATCAAATTAAAGTTTTAACATTTGCAAAGGCACCCCTGAAATTTTTAAAATTGAATCTCACTAAAATCCATCTATTTATATTTCGAATATGCCAAATTCTACCCCTACTAATTACTTGAGAAATAATGATTTTTTTTTTACAATTAAAATCACTAGGGGCGTTTGGTTCAGGTCATCTTAGATTACCTAGGTAATTTGATTATGATAATGTTATATTACCTTATTTGGTTCAAGTTATGAGATTACTTAGTAATATTCTGAAAGCTGATGTGACGGTGATATCTTAAGGTAATGTGATTACCCCCGTTTTCTTAGGTAATCTTAGATTACCTTGAATTATTCAAATTTTGCCCTTGTTAACTAATCCTTATATAATAATAATAATAATAATAATAACAATAATAATAATAATAATAATAATAATAAAATTAATATATGTTTATATAATCAAATAACATGTGTGTATATTTATATATTTAGTTTTTTTCTTTAATATTTAAGCATTGATATACATTCATAGATATAAATAAATAAACGCCGACACATAATATATATATATATATATATATATATATATATATATATATATATATATATATATATATATATATATATATATATGCGGCGGGGTCTTACCGTGCGGCGGAATTCCGGAATACACCAACAGTGTTAACAATATGCACCAACAGTGTAATAAAAACACACCACAATGAAATGTAATAAAACATCACAAAATACACCACAGACTCAAAAAATACACCATATAACTCACCACCCCCAATGGTGTATTTCCGAACAGTGTATGGTGTTTTTACTCACACCTAATGGTGTGTGTTTGGTGATGTAGGACTCTGTTTACTCTGTTTTGTGTGGTGTATTTCCTAACGTTGATGGTGCATATTTGGTGAACTATTGGTGTTGCCGCACCGTAAGAAATCGCCGCACCGTAAGACACTGCCGCACCTGAACCCGCCTATATATATATATATATATATATATATATATATATATATATATATATATATATATATATATATATATATATATATATGTGCGGGTTCTGGTGCGGTTGTCACTGTTAGGTGCGGGTGTGCGGTTGTATGGCTGCCGTTAGTTTTTAATGCATCAAAATATCTTCACCGTTGATCTTAAACAGTGAAGTTCGCTTATTCGCGTACTGAGGGACAAATTAGTAATTTTGAATAAATTAACCTTCATCGCTGTTACCTTTAAAAAAAAAAAAACCTCCATCGCTGTTCTCTCTCGTCGTTCGCATTGTCGTCGCCGTTGTTTTTATTTTTATTTTTATTTTTTATTTTTTATTTTTTATTTTAACGAATCGCTCAGTTTTCTGTCGTCTCTCATTCGTCTGGCATTGCGGTTGTCATTGTTTTTGTTTTTCAAAACTTTTTTCGTATCTCTCGTTATCTAGTATTTATTTCTCGTGGATCTGCATTTGGTTTTGTTCATCTCTGAAAATTGATCCAGTTTATTTGGTTATGAAAATGGAGCACATTAAGTTATATTTTGAAGCACACTGTGTAATACATGCACGCATGGTAAGTGTTAGACGGACAGACGCACATTAAAGAGATATATGACGCATATTAAAGAGATATGAGAGTAAATTGACTTATCTTAATTGGTAATCAAACGAACTCACATCAAGAATTGAGTTCACGCACGATGCATTGTACTTTATTAACTCGCACGTAACGGTGTATATGAACGCACATTAATTGGGTTGAATTTTTATTATGTTTTTATTTTTATTTTTAATAAACAAACTCACGCACCTTAAGAATTGAGTTCACGCACGTTGTACTTTAATAAATCGCACGTAATGGTGAATATGGACGCACATTAATTAATTTGAATCTATATTTTATTTTTTTTGTTGGCAATACTAGCACCGTCATCAGAAGAATTGTCAATTATGTCTATGCATGTATGATAAACATCCAAATCAATGCATATGACATATATATGATCACTTGTAATGACTGGGAAAAAGAACTTCATTTTTGTACATGTTAGTTCAGAGAAATTATAAATACAAATGTAATGAAAGTATATAGAATTTAATTTACCAGATGAGAGTTTGTAGGGTCACCAGTAGCAGTGCCAATGTAATGATTAACACTGTCTTCAAACTTTTCATACAATTGATCAGTAGTATATCCGGGTGGTTTATACACAATAGAATATGCCTACAGGAGTATGTTAATTTCATCAGCAATGTAGTATGTGCTTCAAGATATTTGTTAATGTGCATGAAATTATAAATCAATAATAATATAACTTACAACTGGTGTTGTTGAGAAAAAGAATTTTTTTTTTTTTTTTTTTTGTTAGGAAAGTTAAAGGAGTAGATCTCCATGTTATTTAGAATTAAAGCCCAAGTATTCAAAACTCCAGCTTCCATGTTCACCTTTCCTCAATGACCTCAATTCAGCCATCGTTAAATGTTTTTCCCCATGTTTAAAAACAAATTCGTACCTAGAAAAATATTCAGATATGAACTAAAAAAATCAATAGGTAAATAAATAAAAAAGCAAACTTAAGTGGTACAATTAATATAGGTGTGTCTTTCTACAAAAACACATGTACCTTAAGTTTTAACAACAACTCATATTAAATAAACACTCAAGCAAAATCAAGTACAAAACTCACGCATCTTAAGCACAAGACTCGCCTTAAGCACAAAGCTCACGCACATTAAGCACACAAATCACGCACGTTAAAGTTTTAACATCTCACACAACTCATATTAAGTAGATACTGACGCACATTAAGCATAAATCTCACGCACATTAGCACAAGACTCACACACTTCAAGTCCAGTACTGACGCACATTAAGCATTACACACTCACACACACTAAGCAGAAATATCAGGCACATTAAGCATAAGACTCAAACACATTAGTCACCTCTACTATCACACAGGTAGCACTAACTTGCTCTGGAACTTAATTCGTAGATAGGAATTTCAAGCGTAACTTACAATTTTGTATCATTGGCGTTATAAATCCAGTTGTTGAACGCGATTTCATTCACAGTGTGCGGTTCCTTGAAGTTCAGTTTTCTTTTAAAGCATGGAGAGTCCATTGCATCTATCATTGTGCTTTCTATACAGTCTCTCTGTAACCCCCCTTAAGCAGGTGTTTCTGTTTCTCTTGCAGCTTCTTCAACCTCTGTTTTGTTTGTATTCTGAACCTTATGTGTTTCAATATCTGTGGCAAGAGCATCTTTTTCAACATCTACTTTATTTGTACTGTCATCACAGTGCTCTTCGTCATGAGATTTAACTTGGTCATTCTCGTTGTCATTCAAAGTAGTCTGTTGATGATCATCAACAACGTAGCAAGCAACAATATTTAAAACTTCTTCTGAAATACTTCTTTCTCTCTGTGCTTCCTTTGGATTGGAAGTGACAACGGGGGTCACTGTAACACTATTAGCATTGCTGCAAGCGGGGCTTGGCGTTGGGGTTTTTAGAAGGTTGAAACTGGAAAAGTCAAACAACTGTTCTTCCAAGTACTCTTTCCTTTTTTTGTATTGCAAGGTCAATTGCAATATATGTTTGTGGGTCGTCCCAAAAGGAGTCTTGGCTGCTAAATGCTTCTCGCTCTTCCTGGGAGAGAGATGATTGAACGCCTTGAATTACAGGACTGAGTGCCTTTATAGCCATTGAACGCATGTTTTTTATATTCTCATTTTTATCAATAATGGCTGGTGATTTTTTTGAGTACTCAATTAGATTTACCATCTCATCAGAAAATCTTTGTAGAGACTGTGCATAACCAGTGTAGTATTCCTGTTGTAAGAATTAATGTAGATACGATTATCACATGATGTGCGTCGTATAGAAACTCAATGTGCGTGCACATGAAATATTGCGTGTGCGTAATGGCAAAACATAATGTGCATTTCAAGTATACACTAATAGAACTGAAACTAGTTTGAATAAAATTAAAAAAAAACATTATCGAATGAAGAACAGACCTTCACTTCTTCAAGCAGCACATGTTGGACTTCAGTCTGTCTTTGACCTTTAACAGTAGGAAAAGGTGGTAATGCTCGGTGATCACTACATGTCAATCCTTCCATTTCTAGTTAATCATTACAATCTAATTCTTCTGAATCTGCTTAAGAGGGCACAAACTGGGGATTATGTCCATGAATTCTGCCTCGTCCAAAAGTGCCAGACTTAAACTCTTCCATCTCTCGATCTTTTAAATGTTTAGTTGTCCATCCTATCAAAGCTGGAATAGCTCTTTTAATAGGTCTATGGAATTGTAGCACAACACGATCAACATAATGTATCTGAATACAAATGACAACTGTTAGCAACATAACATCCTATCTTTTGCATTTTACATAGAATAAATACATATTAAAATTTACAAACATGAACAGGAGAGAGCCAGGGAAATAACCAGTAGGGTTCGGTTGCCAAGCGAGTACTGCAGTATTCAATCTTCGCAAAAGGAAGCGACACCAATTGAAATCTCGAATTTTTGTGACATCATTCAACGCCTCCAAGATACGTGGACCAACATATCCACTTTTAGGGCCATCTATGTACATAGATGTTATTATAACCATGAAATGGATTTTGAACCGTTCACCCCCGTCAGTGCAGTCCGCCATTGCTGAAATAGCCTCATCATACAGCATTGAGGTCGGGTTTCTTGGTTTAACTTTGTCTTTCCAATCCAAGAATAATGGAAGAGTAGGAGATAACCGATCTTTCTCGTATACAATTTGAAATGGTCCTCTGGGGAATCCTAAAGCATATTCAACATCATCTTCTGTTACATCAAGTTTATAACCAGAATGCAATGTCAATGTACTATCCATTGCATCATAGTTTTGGAGCATCCAGTAGCATAGTCGTATTGAGAATTCTGTAATCTGTAGACTAAGGATACTCCCAAAACCAATATCCTTGA